CACGCGATGACTTTTCTTTTAAAAGCGGCATCGTGGTGCACTTGAGTTTTTGGAGTCGGCCCTTTCACGTCGTCGATGCTAATGCACTACTAGATGACGAACTCCTCAGCACACGTACGAAGTGCCGCACATGGTAAACACATAGGCAGAAATAGCCGACGCACCATGCCGACGCACGTAGGGGGCGGCCATTTTGGATTTGCGATGGCAATAGATTGACCGTAATTTTTTGTTCGTACTCGATTCTAACGCGCATGCGATTTTTGAACTCGCTTAACCGGAAAAAAGGTGCGCGTTAGATTCGAGTAATTACGGTACTTGGCCCTTTCCCCTAGTCTTCCTCGGGTAACAAGTAGATAGCCATGGCCACCGACTACGCCACGCGTTATGCCATCACACGAGCTCTTCCATCAAGCTGGGCCACAGATGTTGCCGACTCCCTCCTCAAGGATGTGATTTTACAACACGGAGCCCCACGGCAGCTGCTTACAGACTGTGGCCGCACCTTTTTGTCAAAGGTCATAGCCGACATCTTGCAGTCCTGTCAAACGAGACACAAGCTGACTACGTCATACCACCCCCGAACCAGTGGACTCGCGGAGCGTCTAAATGGAACTCTTACAGACATGCTCGCTAGGTATGTTTCTACCAACCACACTGACTGGGATCTCGCGTTGCTGTACGTCACATTTGCCTACAATTCTTCTCGCCATGACACTGCCGCTTACTCCCCATTTTTTCTGTTGTTTGGCCGATAACCTACATTACCCCTAGATACAGTCATTCCGTCTACCACGACACCGACCAGCGAATATGCCCTTGATGCTATCACTCGGGCTGCCCACGCACGCGAAATCGCCCGCACTCGCTTTCTGGCCTTTCAAGAGAACCAGCGGCATTTGTACGATCGACGGCACCGCGGCGTGCACTTTTTACCCGGTTCATTGGTGCTGCTCTGGTCCCCGACCTGTCAAGTAGGCTTGTCGGAAAAACTGTTCCCGCTACACAGGTCCATATCGAGTCCTTCGTGAGGTTACTCCTGTGACATACGAAATTGCTCCTGCTGCCTCATCGCCTTCAACTGCCCCACAGACCACCGATATCGTAAATGTGGCACGCTTGAAGCCTTACCACTCTCCCACTGATGTTGACATCTAGATGCGCCGAGACGGCGCTTCTGCCTTCGGGGATTATGCTACATGCATGTTGACGTTTTGTGGGACAATGCGCATGTGTTCCTGATGAAGAGGATGAAGAGTGGTCTCCGCTCAGTGCCTGGTCTACCGGTCATGCCGCTGCTGCTGGTTCGAAATATATTTCATACACATCCTCGTCGATACGGCGTATTTTTTCTTCCGTAACAATATCGTCGATCAAAAAAGTTGTTAAATAAATGTGTGTATTGTTTGGTTTGTCCCTACGGTGTCTGCTATGTCCGTTCACTTCAAGAGCGTGGCGCTAGCTCTTGCCGTTTCGAGACCCCACAACACACACAAGACATAGATAAGATCATTCGGGTCAGCTGCTGTAGCACAATTCTTGTACTTGCAGCTTAATAGCTTGTCTACTCTTAATTTTGCACATTTGCAATCACTGTTGCAATATTTTCAGTCGATGTAAATGGGCGCTACGCCTTTCCTCTGCACTTTTGATCAGCTCCCGTTTGGCTTAATCTATTCGTCACTTTCTCACTCTCATGTAAAGGGCGTGACAGAAAGACTAAAATGCTGGAGCAGTGTTCTCGTCTCTTTTCACCACACCATTTCTGTAATATCGAACCCCTACCACCTTACCAAATCTGCAGTCCTAGTTTCGCTCTGAACTTCTATTAAACAGTGGAACTTCGATTATACGTTCCCCGGTCCTGCGACGACCGATGTTTTACGACGAATTGGCTTGGTCCCGGCGAAACCCCCATAGAACTAATGTATTGAAAACCTCAATTCTACGACGCAATTCTACGCTGACCCCACCTCGTACGACGCTTAGCTGGACTGTCCGAGGAAAAAAAAAAAACCTACGATGACGCACGCAGTCTGCCACGCAAGCACACTGCGGCCGGATGAGAAAAAGTCGGGAAACCGAGGAACCGAGTTCGTTCCTCCGCATGTTCTAGCACACTATCCGCGCTGCCACCGCTGCCACCACAGGGCCTCTTCAATTTTTCGACACGCTGTTGGCCATAGCTAGCCAGACCCAACGTTGTCCAGAGCCAGCCGGAGCGCATTCGTTTTGCTTAGTCGCATTGCACTGCGCACTTCCGTTGGGGCCTTTTTTTGTTTTGTTTTCTGCCTTCTTTTGGGTGGTTTTGTAGTGACAGCTATGAGCAGGTAACATGGCAGATAATTTCGAGCTCGTTTTCTAGTATGCGATAACTTTCACTCGATATCGCGTCAATGTACCGGACGTGTTGAACGGCAATCGTTGAGCCTGTCTACGTTTGGGACAGCCGCGGGAGCCGGAACTAGCTGCTGTCTAGCTACCAGAGGGCTGGGGAGTTTTAGCCCCTCGCGATTGGTCGAAGCTTGCGCAGACGTATGCGCTTGCAAAAATCGAATGGGCCCACTGCCTTGTTGCCTTTCAGCTATTCCTTCACGTGTTTGCCTCATCGGTTGGTTGTGCACTGCAGCCGCTGCGTTTACGTGCAAAGTTTTCAGTATTCGGACATTGGTGTGCGAGGAAGCTTTCAAATTCTTGGTTGCAAGTGCTGCGTCTCGCAATGTCGCGGAACCGAAAACCGCTGACGCTTGGAGAAAAGCTTCGCATAATCGAGGAGGCGGAGAAGCGGAGCGGAGCAACAAAGGCCGGCATTGCCCGCGACCTGAACATTCCTGAGTCATCGCTGAAAACGATCCTCGCAAAGAACAGCATCCCACTAAATGCGGCAAAGTTTGGCCTGAACAGGAAGGCCGCGAAAGATGGCAAATATGCTGCCATTGAGACGGCCCTCGTTGAGTGGTTGTGTCAGGCCCGCAGTTCAGGAATTGCCGTGGGTGGCGCAATATTGAAGGAGAAGCCAAGGACAGTTGCATTGCGCTACGGCATTGATGACTTTAAATCCTCCAATGGCTGGTTGGATCACTTTAAAAAATGCAGTGGAGTTGTGTACAGCCGCTGCTGTGGAGAGAGCTCGTCAGTCAGCTCCGACACTGTCGAAAAGTGGACTGCATTTCTGCCGGAATTGATACGGCAATACAAGGCGTCCGACGTGTTCAACGTGGACGAAACTGGAATATTTTATAATAAGCAGCCAGAGCAGACATTAACATTCAAAGGAGAGAGCTGTCACAAGGGTAAGCGAAGCAAAGAGCGTCTTACTGTATTGCTTTGCACTAATGAAGACGGCTCAGAAAAGCTTCCTGCCCTCGTTATCGGCAAGTTTGCAAAGCCGCAATGCTTCAAGAATTTGAAAAGGCTGCCGTGCCAGTACATGTTCAACCGGAAAGCATGGATGACGGCTGCTATGTTTTCAACATATCTGCAGCAGCTGGACTCAAAAATAGGGGCTAAAAACAGAAAAATTCTTCTGCTTGACAATGCGCCATGTCACCCATTAGATACGTCGCATTTGAGAAATGTGAAAGTTACATTTCTGCCCCCCCAACTGCACTAGCCAGCTGCAGCCACTTGACGCCGGCATCATCAAGTGCATGAAGCAGAAATATCGGAAGTTTCTGGTGCAGCGTCGGCTGGCGGGAATGGAACGCAAGCATCTGGATAAGAAGCTTTCTGTGCTTGATGCAATGCACTACATTGCTAGTGCATGGTACGCAATCATGCCAGAAACCATTGTCAACTGCTTCAGGCACTGTGGCTTCAATAGAAGTGGTGCTTGTTCTACCAGTGAAGCTGCAGTGCCTGTTGACGACGAACCAGAGTTCGGCAACCTGGAGCTGCCTGGATCCTTCGCGGACTATGTTGGTGCCGATAATTACGTTGCAGTGTGCAGTGCAGTGTCGCTGGATGACATTATCGAAACTGTGCGTTCTGACACTGCGGGAACTTCCGACGAGGAAGAGATGGATGACACTGCAGAGGCTAGTGCGTCCGTTGCAACGTACGCGGACGTGTTGTGCTACGTCGACAACATTCGGCGGTTTGCTTGCGCATGCGACGAGATCGGCAACTTGCTGCCAGATGTCGCAGCTCTCGAAAGAAAGCTGATGCATCCTGGCTGGGCAAACTAGCAGAAAAAAATCACAGATTTTTTTAAAAGGTGCGAATAAACATTTGTTCACACTTCTGGTTGTCATTTTTTCAAGTAACCTGAAATCTACCTTCATCAGAGCAGCGTAAATTTGTGCCGCGGACTTTCTTACGCATTATGTGACAACTGTTGTGGGGCAACAACGACCATCAGTGCCTATATTCTTGGTTTTTCGATTATACGACGATTTTGCGTGGTCCCCTGAAAGTCGTATAATCGAAGTTCCACTGTATTCCTGGTCATTACACATGGAGACATTGCTCGGCTAAGGCACCCAGTGAGCGTAATCTTGACATGTGTCTATGTGCACTATAAGACAAAAATAATTTTTGTTTCACAGTGCAGCAATCACTCGGAGATCTCATCATATGTGCATGCTTAACTCTTACGACTACAGAGTTTAGTTTTTCCCAGTATTCAGACCATAATAATCTCGTGTTACAAAACTGCTGTCCTTTTCACACAGTCCATCAGAACACCAAGACTGTCTTTAATGGGCAAAAAACGTGAAATAGCCTCAATTATCATTTCTTACAGCCTTTTCAGTTGAAAGAGTGTGAGCACTTTGTTATACCTTTAATCAGGCCGCATATTGTCACATTAGCAGAACCTTACAAAAATTCCTAGAATCAACAATAAGCACACCAAATCCCTCAGGGAGGTTAAAATTCCTAGATATTGGAATAAATACCTAGGGTTCGCATCACTGTTGCCCATACAGTCACTTTGCCTATATTTCCAGGCACTTGCTGTAACTAACAAGGTTCAATCTGCATGTTTCTTCTCTGCCCAGTGCGACCCCAAATGGCAGAAACAACCGCACTGGGGGCAGCGATTGCAGCTGGGGCAGCCGATGGCATTGATGTGTGGAGCCTGGACAGCCAAAACTTCCCCAAGGTTACGACTGATGTTTTTGAACCATCTATACTTCCTGCAGGTAATGCTTGCTCTCCTCGATGTGCTTGATGCAAATAGTCGACATCCGATTTCACGGATGCTCAAAATTCCGGATATGCCTAATTTTCCGCACTCATCTGTGGCACCATCAAGTTTCTCATAAAAATGTGCAAAATTCTGAGCATTTATAGCTTTCTCCATCAGATTTTCAGGACTTTTTACTGCTAACCGCAGACTGGAAGTCGCCATTGATGCTGCCACTCTGGTTGTTTTCGTACCCTCAAACCCATCGCGTCGCGGCTGCCGTACCTTCGAAACCGCATATGCGTCAATCCAGCACATGCCAATTCATAGACAGCCAAAGATTAGTCAAACCTGTGGCCGCAGCTGCATGGTACTGTGCAGCCTGTGCTCCGACAGTGGCAAAAGCTACGCTATTTACCTATGGTCTATACCTATGGTCTGCTGTCGGCATGCTTGCAGATTCTTGGAAGGTGGTTATGCAACGAACCCTCCGGAACTGTTTTCGCCATGCAAGCTTCATACTTGAAGCCGAGACGGCCGTCTTGTTCGGAGTAGACAGTGTGTGCGACGAACTACACCTGTGGACCATCTGCATGCTGCCGGTGTTTTGATTCGAGCCGGGATAACATTCGAGGGCTTCGCCGACGCTGACGAAGATCTCGAGCTGTGTGCGGAATGAACCGATGATGAAATCATTCATCAAGTTACGGAAAATGATGACAACACTCTGATCGGAGAGGCAGCGCCTACACAGCCAACACGCTCGGAGTTGACGCGAGCGCCAACTCGGTCATCGGTGTACAGCGACAGCATGGGGTTAACCGAAATCAGGGCAGACATTCATACATCATCGCGGGCAGGTGGAGCGCCATGCAAGCGAAAATTAGCAACCTTTCTTTTTTTCTCGTGTATTTCTTTTTATTTTTTGTATTTTGTGCCTAATTGTTTACAAAGGTAGCAGCCCCGGCCACATTAAATCTTTTTTATTTTCTTTGTTTGTTTTTATGTATACCTACATGGACGACTCTTTTCAAAGCACCTAACGATGGATTTGCTGAATTGCAATGAAAATCCTGTACTCCTGCCTGACCTTCTTCGTCAACGAAAAATACCTATTAAAAAAGTGTTTTCGCTTGCATTGGTCTTCTCAGACGTTTTTCGTGGTCCCTTGAGGGTCCGAGAAATCGGACGTCGATTGTACCATCATTATGCTTATGTCTTAAACTTACCTCTCCTTTTTTACGTTAATGCCTCCCAAGAAGGAGGAGGATTGGTGTCGGTAGGTAATCATGCAGTGAACCCTAGTAAAGCTGAGCAAAGCATAAGGGAGCTTCTCGTAGCTCTTAATGGAATACAGTCGAAACCCGCAATAACGAAATCGCCGGGGAAACCGAAAAATTTAGCTTTGTGAGAATTTTTTTTGGCGGGAGTATGAGACAAAAAAACAGTGATATGGCCAGCAGAACAAAAATTTTTTGCCAGAAGTCCGTCAACTTACTTTGTCGACCCTTGCCATGCAACAACTTCAAAGCTCTCCCTTCGCACTGGAACAAGTGGTCCATTGCTACGTCGTCGTCATGTGCGCCGAAGAAGGAGCGAAAGGTGTTCAGCGCATCCAAAACAACCCTCGGGTTGTTTTGGATGCGCTAGCGCGTCGTTCCTGCCCGCAGTCTCGCTGTCAGCGGAGTTACAGCTAAAGCCGACTCCGGTGACGCGCCGCGCTCGTAGACCGCGCACCCGCTCGTAATAATCTGACCGTGCATCCAGCGCGGCCACTCGTAGTAATCTACGAGAGGCCGCCGCTTACAGCTTTGTTGCCTGCGATGAAGCACGTTGCCACGAGTGCGCTAGCGCGTCGTTCCGGCAGTCTCGCTGTCGGCGGAGTGAGGGCTAAAGACGACTCCAATGACGCGCCGCGCTCGTAGTAACCTGATCGCGCATCCGCCTACTGCTCCTAACTAAAGCGTTATTATATCTCAAGTTATCATGAAGCCGTGAACACGTCGCGAAGTAGCAATTTTCGAGAGCCATGTCCTCGCGGCGCACAAGCAGCAGACGACGATGTGCCGGAGCGAGCATCGGGCCAATGGCGAGGCGAGCAGAGGCAATAGCGGCCACAGCCAATCAAGGGCCTCGAAACGACCTTCAAACATTTGCTTATTGTGTGCTTGTTTTTAAAGGGAGGAGCCAGCTGAGGCGGCATAGTGAACAAAATTGGCGGTACCCATGCTAGCGCGGCAAAAGCAGTCGTTTACAAATTTTGAGTGTGTATAACACACACAGGAGCATATTTTCCACAGTTAACCTTTGGCGGGAGGGTAAAATAAGGCTTGCATCATGGCAAAAAATTCGTTAATGCGGGGTCGCTGTCCAAAAACATTTCGTTGCCGCAAAATACATAAAACATGGGCTTCTATGAACGTTCACCGGGAATCCGGAAATATTTCGTTGCCACGGGGATTTCGTACTTGCGGGGTTTCGTTCTTGCGGGTTTCGACTGTATTTCAGTTATAGAAGAGAAAGTATTCTTGGGCACTAATGGTGGCCAAGCTTGCAGGCAAGGCAGGTGTGAGACAACCAACTCAATTGAAAATATCTAGCAAAGGTTAATATCTGTATAAAAACAGTGATTGTTTTGTCTCATAGATTTGCTTGTGTGCAGGCCTTCACTCGAAATCAAATTAATTCGAACATAGCATTGCCCTGCCGCGGTGGTCTAGTGGCTAAGGTACTCGGGTGCTGACCCGCAGGTCATGGGATTGAGAATCCCGGCTGCGGTGGCTGCATTTTCGATGGAGACGGAAATGTTGTAGGCCCGTGTGCTCAGATTTGGGTGCACGTTAAAGAACCCCAGGTGGTCGAAATTTCCGGAGCCCTCCACTACAGCGTCTCTCATAATCATATCGTGGTTTCGGGACATTAAACCCCACAAATCAATCGAACATCGCATTAACTTCACTTCAAGTGATGGAAGTGTGCTTTGTATGCTGTTTTGAAATGTAAACAATTAACAACTGTCTTGAACAAATGCATAGACCTCTTACATGAAACATCATGCATTTTCTCTGTTTCCTTAGAACGTGAACAGCGTTTTGCAAAATGGAAAGATGCCGTTTCTCGTTCCAAGCACTGGCAAGAAGTGAATCCTGATGAAGCCAAAAAAAAGCAGCAAGGTAAGCCATTCTACACCCAAGATGTTTCGAGTCGTGGCTAAAGTAACGTCTTGTTCATTTTCTTTGCTTTTGTCAATGGCATTGTCTGCCTCTATTTTTCAGCATGACCATCCCGTTTCATGTAAGGTGTGCATGTCTTGCATTTCTTCTCTTTCTTTGCGGTTGTCTCTGAAGTAGCACAATCCTGCTTGGCCCTGTCATTGGTAATTCTGCCTTGAATGGCTTGCACTATATAGGTTGAACAAAACGAAAGCTATGTGGGATGGGCTGTTTTTCTACACATTTTGCAGTGACATTGTGAACAGTGTCGTAGCCAGAAATGTATCTTGGAGTATGCAGGCACCATCCTGTGTCGCTGTGGTTGGGCTAGTTGGTGCAGCATAAAACAATGTTTCATGGTGCATGCAACGAGGACAAACACAGAGAAAGCACTGCGTGTGTCTCCTCCGTGTTCATTGTTGGTCCAAGTGCCGTAAAACGTTGTATCATCCGGTGTCTCTTTATGTTATTCTGCAGCAAACTTCGGAACGAGTGGGTGTCCAGGTGTGTTAAACTCTCGCTGTGGTCATGGGTAGGACTTGCAGACTGTACTTTTTTGCGCAAAGCACTTACCCCACTGTCCTGTCTGAAGCATTTCTACTTTAAGCATTCTGTCTAAGCATCTTCGGCGGTGCCTTCTTTATCTCCTGCTATCACGCCTTTATTGCCACATCTTTCTTATCTTGGCACCACTTCAGACTCTTTATGCATGTTGTCCATGAGCATGCTGCGCTTACTCGTACGAGCTTTACCGTTCTGTATTGCCTGCACATTGACGTTGTGTGGTGAAAAATCTGGGAAACATGTTTCTCTAAAAACCCTGCACATAATTATGTCCTTTTCATGTACCTATGGTCATTACAAAAATGCACTTTGCAAGGAAATCCGAAAACAAGACAAAAAGGTTGCCTTACGAGCAATCACAGTTGTTTTTCTTGTTTATTTATTTATTTAATTATTAGGACAATACAATTGCATTGCCCACGGTCAGGACAAACGGAGGTGGTTCTCCTCCTGACGAGGTCCTGCTCGCACTGGGCGTAACAGGGGTAGTACTAAATAGGCATTCACAATTGAAAAGAACATTGCATGTACAACTGAAAAGAAAGTTATTACATGAAATATACATATTCACAAAAGCAGCCGTCAGCTTGACAACATAACTTCTTGTTTGTTGCTTAAGCTTATTTCGTTGGCGTCACAGAAAAGAAGCCGGACATGCTTTGAAAGTGGAAATGTTGGGGTGGCTTGGGAAGTGTTTGCATTGCAACTGAACTTCTGGCGTCACTTTCTCGGTGATGCTCATTACAGCAGCACAGTCACAGATATAACTTACTGTTGTAGCTCTGCCCCTCGTGAGCGCTGATGGGCTGTGCAGAGGAGGAGAGGGGGAAGGGAAGGCCAATGGATAGGACGTCAACAGTGTGGCCACGTGAGCCTTCTGCTGGATTGGGAGGATGCTCACAGCAGCCAATGGCACCGATTTTTATTTGTACTTGTTCTTTGCTACATTTTTTTTAAAAAGAAAATTTTATAATCCTGCGTCTTTGAGAGACAAATTTTCTTCAGTTGTTGCCGGCTTTGTGCCACTGCTGCTATAAAATAAGCTGCGTCTATTGCATAGAGATGGTGAAGATTTGTTATAGACAAGAGCTGTTAACTGCTCATTACACCTTCGAGCTTATTGCCCTATAGCCATTGCAACGAGTACACTGAAAAAATATTTGCTTCATTGGCATGCCGCTTGCCAACGTGCAAGCTGACGGTTAGTTTTGAGAAGGCCACGTGAGTGGATTGTTAGTTCTGATGGCTTGGAGCATGCAGCACTACAAGGCTATAGGTCCACTTCAATCTGACAGAGCATTAGGGGCCTCTTCACGAACAACTGCCTGTTATAGAATACGTTCGGTAAGGCACCTGGGCACCGCCATCTTGGCTTGTAAAGTCTATGTTTTCTTGTTTTGGTATATCGCGACGTGATTGAAGAAACCCATGAAATATCGTACGCACCAACTGGGCCATTTTCATACGTATGTGTCTACCGTAACAGTGTTTGTTTAGTTGTTCAAGATACATAATACAAAGGTGAACTACCCAGTATGGCGGCACTCGAAACTATCCGTAAAATGATCTATAGTAGCAGAATTCAGTTTTGTCACAATGTAGCCCGTTTGTTATTATAACGTCACATGGAAAATAAGACAGCCCTGGTGTCAGTTGTGCCGCGCAAGTACAGGCAAGTTTGTTCTCATTCCACCGGGCACGACTTTTATTCCTGCTAAGGGCATTTGACAGTTTGTTATGACTTGTCATGACAGGTACAGATAGACCATTTTATTGTAGCAGGCATTGTGGAATTCGAAAAACCGGCTGCGTTCCTGGTTTGCCAGTGGGACTTCAACTTAAGGGTTCTGTGGGGGATCTGACCAGTGCTTGAAGACGTGCTTTTTCAAAGTGGATAGTGATTTTTAAAGCAAGTTTCAGTGCCCAACTGAGCCCGCGCATCTTCAAACACTTCTGCATATAGCACAGTGAACGAATGTAGAAAACGAAATCGCCATTCTAACACTCCATACAAATGGTTGACCAGTGAAGCTGAAACGTGTGGCCACAGGTGGTTACTGACATTGTAGCCGAAGCCGAAGAGCCACTCGAGAAACTCCCGCCGAAAGTGGCTGTTGGCCCCGGTGAACGTGTTTCTGCTATTGCCCTGTTAACAGTGCTCTGCCTGCAATGCTGCTTCCTCCGCTCGCCGTTGTCCCTTGCCTTCAATCTCTCGAGTTAACTTGGCATCATGGTTAGCAGCATTCACATGCCATTAATGCTTGCATTCTACTTTGAAATTTAGGCTGGCTTGGAAGGCTGCTAAATTTTTGGTACACAGTTGCTGCTTCCTCTTGGGCTCCTGAGCCTGTATTTGTGCCCGAACTGCAGTGTTGGCTCGGCCAGAACAAATTCTGTCTGGGTTCTGCTGTTGGTGCTGTTCTTCAAAAGTTGTCTTCTGTTGAAGAGTTTGTACGATCCGTGGCCTACCCATGCGGTAGTTGCTGTGCGTGAGCACTGTGGCACGACTGCAAAGGGATGAACTATGTCGCTAACGATGCGGCCAATGGCGCGTGCGCTCAGGTACGACGTACAGAATGATGTCACTGACGGCGCAGTCAAAGGCGCACGCGCTTGGGTATGGCGTCAAGAACAACGTAACTGACTTTGCAACTAATGGAAAAGCTTAGCATGGCAAGGACGAGGTAATTTTAATTTCTCTAGCCATATATAGCTTTCTCTGTTAAAAGGATGCAGTACGCTTGCTCGCTGCACTGTACATCATCGTAAAGCAAAAACGACTCTCCTAAGCTTCTACTTTTTTACTAATAAGTAGTCTCTTCCCTGCAGTCAGCAGCTACTTTGCGGCACAACAAACAAAAAGTTACGCCTACTCCCGCTAATGGGAGCTACGTGTGAATGCGAAGAAGCGCGGAAGTGGCGAACGGCACCCACAGAAGCTCGTCTATGTCGCCTTAAGCAGGTGCACCAATATATAGAACCTCTACTTGACTAACCCTGTCGGTAACCTACGCTCGATGCCGGTGACCATCACTATAGCACTGCTAAACAGCTGGTCCCTCAACCCACACGCCACAGACATCGAATGCAATCTCGTGCTAACCAAAGCAGGCGCATTTTGTCTCACGGGAACATGGAACGCTGCAAAACCGAAGATCAACAGCTATGAACTCATTGTCTGTACGAGTGTCTTGTCCACTTCATCGACTGGCTGCGGTGGTCTAGTGGCTAAGGTACTCGGCTGCTGACCCGCAGGTCGCGGGATCGAATCCCGGCTACGGCGGCTGCATTTTCAATGGAGGCAGAAATGCTGTTGGCTTATGTGCTCAGATTTGAGTGGACGTTAAAGCATTTCAGGCGGTGGAAATTTTCGTATGATACCCCTCCACTACGACGTCTCTCATAATCATATGGTAGTTTTGGGACGTTAAACCCCACATAATGATCAATTGTTGCCTTCACCGCTGATTCGAGAGAGATAGAGGAGCGCAGGAGAAAAGAGAGATGGAGGGGATGTGCATGTGCAGTGGGGAAGCATCCGTGTGAGGGAAAGACGAACGCTGCCCCGAGCAAAAGCTGCTTCGCATCTAATATTAGGATGTAAAATACATAAGATGAGATGAACTGCATAAAATAATGTAAGAACTCTATTGGACATACAGGGTCCATTATAAAGGTAATGTGCATTTTGTAGGAAAAATTGATTTATTAACAGGACTTGTACAAATGGTCGAAATTCTTGGAGATACTCTCCCCTTGTATTAGTAAACTTGGGGGAACGTCTCTGTCATGCCTGGAAGGTACCCTAAATGTTCTCGACGAGAATGTCTCTCAGTAACGCTATAACATGCTTTTTGATGTTTTTCATGACCTCCCAATGCTTTCCTTTCTGCTTTCTCTCCAGAATAAGAAAAAAAAAACTGTCGCACGAAGCAGAGTCAGGACTGTTTGGGAGATGACTGGTTAACCTAACAATTTAATGAAGGTGTATGGCTGGGGAATTGCCACGGCGGAGCTTGACCGTGTCCTTGATGTCGGCCCTCTCGCATGTGGCCCAGTGTTTCAAACTCGAGCTCCTCTAGTAAAAAGCGGCGTTGACAGTCTCTCTCTGTGGTGCAATCTTGATTTTCTGGATGCTCAAATGGCGGTCGAAACGCAACATTTCAGGCACATAGTTTCCACTCGCATTGCTTGTAGTAAACTGGTGACTGTCTGCGTTAGAAACGCAGACCCCTACCACATCACCCCACCTTTTTTTACTGCACTGCTGTGGACAGATCGGGCCAAAATGCATTACTTTTTTAGAAAACTTTGTATATGGCTGTATTTTGGTAAATAGCAACTACTTCTTAGCATTCTAGCATTCTTTTAAACAAATGACCTTAGAGCATCTACTCTGCCTAGACAACTGTGTGCCAGTTCAGCTGTTTGATTGATCTGTTTGACAGAATCAAGCATGAAAGCAATCTGCTCAAAGCTTGATATAACAAGTTTGTGAAGCATGGCATTTGTCTCTTTCATGGAAATGCACGCATTTCTCATTTCAAATCATTGAAGCTGTTTTGTGACACAGTTTTCTTTTACAATAAAGCTTTGGCAAGCACAAAAAGAAAATTTAGCGATTTAGGTCGCACTTTGTTACTTTATATTGGAAACCAATATATTGTGTACATATTTAATTACTACTAGGTAAGTTTTGTTGTCAAGTTAAAAAGGTAAAGCTCAATTACAGATAACATTTTATAGTGCAAAAAAAAAACATTTTAAAAGGTACTAGGAAAACAACAGACAAAGTAGTAAATTGAAGTTAGTTCTTTATAGACTTACATAAAAAAATGTTGGGAAGCACCTCTGTGATGCAGGAAGCATACTTCATAGAAGCATGCTTTATTAGGCAGGAAAGAAGAGCAAATTAAAGGTACGCAATGCTTTGTTTCAATTTTACATTGAGGTTTCTACTTCATTGCAATAGCTGCGTTGCGTGTAATTCCTCAAATTTTTGTTGCCAGTATTTGCTTCCAGTTGCTTGTCAAGATGCCATGCTATCCACAGTTTCGTCGGAAAAATTTTGGACATAAATGGTTAATCGAATACAGTAGAAAAGGAAGGCTGTAGGAACGTGGAACATCAGTATCTTAAGTGTCGAAGCCTGGATACAGCGAAGCTTGCATTGTGATAGTTTATTCCAACGTGTTTAGTGTTACAGTCGCCGACCGATTTTTCGGACCTGGCGGGGACCGAAAAAAAGTACGAAAAATCGAACAGTCCGAAAAATTTGTTTTCGCCAAAAATCTGAAGTTTATTGCATCAGGCAGGTTTAAAAAAGTCCTTGATGCTGCCTTGCCTCAAACTACGCTCGGAGGCAATTTGGTTTGCCCGTATTTGCGCCAAGGTGACATCGTCGCCATAAACGCTCGACAAAATTGTCACCGCGTTGGCGATCTCCGCCGCCGCCGGCTGCGGGCGGTCGTCGTTGTCGTCGACAACCGCCATCCGGCGTCGACCGTCATCCGGAGACATCTAGCTGCGAACGTCCACTCTCTATTAGCTTGATTATGGCAGCTTTCTTCTCCATCGTCAGGGTCGTATACTTCCCACACTTCTTCACACCACCTGGCTCCCGCGATGGCACAGATGGCGGAGCCATGGCACCGAGAACACAAAATTCGATGCCGCAGATAGCCGCTGCGAAGCACACAACGTCTCGACGCTACGCGACACAACACGTGCAGAATGGCGACTGAAAAAAGCTGCAACGACAATAAAAGAATCCTTCTTTCGCCTCCTCCCCGTGCGATGTGATGACGATAGTGCTGACCGAAGACGAAAAAACGGCATCCATCACTGCGTCTTTTAAAAAGCAAACACGGCCTCCGAAACTTAAAATATGGCGTGCGCATTCCAATCTCTGAGGCAGGAAAGGCATCTGAAGACCAAGCTTAGCCAAGCCGACGAAAAATCCAACATGGCGGCGTTCACAATGGCTTGGGGCGTGGCACAAAACAAGCGATTTAGTCCGAAAAATCGAACTTTCAGGGGCAAATTCGCCCGAAAAATCGGTCGAAACAATGCATTAGCTCTATGGGATCCCTGACGGTGCATTTATGAAGTCCGGAATATCCAACAAGTCCGAAATTTTGGAGTCCGGAAAATCGGTCGGCGACTGTATATCTAGGTTTACCTATTTTTATATTATTCACATCCCTTCAGCACCACAGGCAACAGTGTCCCATGGTTTTGGTTGCAGCATACCAGGAACATAGCAGGAAAACTTTCAGGGATGTGGTATACAGAAAATATTGGAAGGAGGGGGGGTCCACAACCTTCCTCTCTTGACTATGTCAATTTGGCAGTTCATAGTTGTGATGTGCTATTTTTACACAAAGAAAAACATAAAAGCCAAAGGTAAAGTACAACACGAGCGTCAAGTGATAACTCAGTTGTTAAATCGTGCTCGTGTTGCATTCTACCTTTAGTTTTCGTGTTTTTCGTCATGTTAAAACACCATGTTGCAAGTATCAATTATGCACAACGAACTAGGCACTACTCTGCCTCTTCTGAGTGTGGCAGACTACACACATCATGCAGCATAATCCATTTCGAGTCACTAAGTTCTGCAGGTGTACCATTCAGAACTTGTTGCTAGTTTTATATGCCTTTAATAGTTATTTCTAGCATTTGATTGCAGACATTGATTTGAATAATTTTGTGGAATACTTTAGATAATCATTCTCAGAATTGCTCAGAATCGTTAACCAGCTTCAAATATTGCTCTTTTTTTTCTTGTGGGCTTTCTTTTATTCTGACTCAATTTTATTTGTATTCATCTGCAGTCCCCTTGTAGTTCAAATTAACGAGTTTCTATATTTGGTTGGAGATTAGTTTGCTGCTTAAAATAAGGAACGGTATATATGTGGCAGAAGTTTTCGAAGATACTTTGCCCTTCATCGTTCAACATGTTGCGACAGCTGTGCTTGAGCTTTTGGCACTATTGTGATGGTGTGCCGATGTGATGTGGAGTCTGTTTTTAAGTATCTCCTCCTTTTGCAGGCAAGAGCTGGTGGCTGATGTCATCCATTCCAGCAGGCATCTTCATTACATCGTCATTTGCCACTCTTTTACTGGCAAAAGCCTGTGCAAAACTTCCGAACTGAGATGACACTGTGTTATAGGAAATTTCTTCAACTTGTTGACTAGCGCAAGTACTTTGCATTTGTGGAACCGGGATTATGTATTTTTTACATAGGTTACATGACTTCCATTCCCGGTGGTGATGTGCAAAAATTTGTCTCATGTCTAGGAAAAGTAGTTGTTTTAGGTTAACTGATGCTGTTTTAGGTTAAATGATGCTTGCATTTTTTGTCTCATTTTTTTTTTAATTTGCTGTGCTGCCTTTTTTTATTGCATGTAGAATGAGATTTGGCGTGTTTTGTGAGCGAGTAGTCTCAAAAGCTTTTCTAATGGGCATGCTTTATTTCAATCTTCTTTCTGCCTTCCTCTGTCACAATCTTGTTTTGTTTGCTTGTGTGCGTACACCCCTCTTCCATCAAACCAACATTCTGTAGCTGTCTTGCGAAGCCTCAAGTGACCTTCTAAGCTGTGATACGACAGTTACATATGGTATTTACAGTGCTGCTCATTTTTAAGCACATTGTTTGTTTTTCTTTGAATTCAAGTAAAGGTGTGCTTGGTAAAGTAGGGAATAGGAGGACCAAGATCTAATAGGAGCATGTGATTTTTTTTTCCTTTCTGATAATCCACTTTCCACTTTGGCATTAAGGCTTTGTTGAGCTGTTGTTGCTGTTTTGAGATTGTTTGCCTACAGCCTTTCACGAAGCATACCACAAATAAACATTAGTGTTTAATTTGGGAGGCTTTTTGTTTGTGTGTAGTCTGCATTCATGTCATTTAGGCAAGTGTCCACTATGCCCCAAAGGCGTTATTGTAGAAGTCCTGTTAGTCTCGTGCGAGAGTCTGTATATTTGTCAGAATTTTGTGGGTGAAAAAGGAAGTTGGCATGCAGACAGGTACTTGGCTGCTGACCCGCAGGTCGTGGGATCGAATCCTGGCTGCGGCGGCTGCATTTCCGATGGAGGCGGAAATGTTGTAAGCCCGTGTGCTAAGATTTGGGTGCACGTTAAAGAACCCCAGGGGGTCGAAATTTCCGGAGCCTTCCACTACGGCAACTCTCATAATAACATGGTGATTTCGGGACGTTAAACAACACATATCAATCAATCAACACGTGACGTGCCAGCAATTGTTTTTAAAGTTCATAAACTTGAGAAATCTAGAGACCTTAATTAAGTGCTCTCTTTCCCATACTCTCTTTCTTCGAGGTGTGGGGAGAAAGTGATTTTGAAGGAAAAAATTGCCCCTTCCTCCACGATGGGAATTGTGAGGAAATGCGCATGCATTTCTTGTGCCGAGAATACACGGCATAGTAATTTTAATGGCGTAAATTAATGACGAGACGAGGATTTGTACCGTAACCATTTATTTACACATGCATCAGCCAGCAAACGGTCAAAAGTGAGGCATGCGCTTCACTCTATATGTACGAGCAAGAGAACGGGAGAGAGAGCGAACGGCGAGAGAATGAGTGGCGAGGCACTGCACGTACCCTCTCCACACAGGTAGGACCTCCGCCAAGCTCCCTAAAGCGCTTGGACAGACTATACGCCTTCACTTTTCAACAAATCGCACTGCTGCTGAAAATGAAAACATTTTTTCAGCACAAAAAAATACTGACAGGGCACCGAAGTGTTGCGACACGTTTTCTTCTATTGACAAATTATGCACACTGTATGCGAGAGTACTCCCTTCCTGCCAGAAAAGTAGATGCGGGATCTGCTTTTGCGAAAAGGATCTTTGCCGGAAAGGAGTTACTCCTTTGTCGTGTGTCACTGCGCCCGAACGCCTTTCCGAAAGATGTCCCCTTGTCTAAAGGATTTCAGGGTGCCCGTGTGTCAGGGGCATTAGAGGTCTCGTGATACGAGCGCCCTCACGCCAGAGTGCGCTCCTCCTCTCCACTCACTCTTTGCTACTCCGCCCACACCACCCGCTCCTGTTGCTAAGGGCGAGGATAAGCACGTGCTCCCACAGCTGTTGCTATAAGAGAGGGAGTGAGAGTGAAGAGATAACACCTGCCAACATGCGGATGCAGCCAGATGCCTGTCATATCCCGACTAAAAAATGCATTCGCATTTAAAACACCACTGGTACAGGACGGAGACGAGGTGACGCAAACACGGCCTTCACTAACAACCATATTTTGCAGCCTTCGCACGTCAATACATATGAAAAAAACAATTATTAAACATACAGAGGAACAAGATATCGCTCCAACGATTCCAAGTCACACATTCAGAAAATACACATTGATGCACCGGCCAAACAGGCTGATGTATCAATGAAAGTCTACCAGAACATGCATACTCGCTCAGAGGGTCTGTGAGCAGCCACCTTGCAAACAACTGCAAAAAAATGGGTGTCTGAGTCACTCTTGAAAAAAAATTGGTAAATTCTAAGCACTTCTCCAGAGCAATGCCAACGTAAAATATTTTAGGCTTTTCACATTCATAAAAGCGGAGAATGTTGTTTCACCGTACCTTTACTATTTCTTCGCAAAAATGGAATGAAATGTTATTAGAATGTGTCAGTTGGCATTGTTATAGCGCTATTTTGTTCCTAAACATGTTTACTGTTTGTGTTTTTCTCATATCTATTGACATGCAAGCGGAATAAAATATGGTTGTTAGTCAGCGTCGTGCTTGTGTGATCTCGTTTCTGTCCCGCTCCAGTGCTGTTTCTTCTTCAAAATCTCTCTCCTCTCGTACCGGCGAGAGCACGTTGAAGGCTACGCATTTAGAGGGGCTGCTGCTGAAAACATTTATTTACAGATGTTATATACAGGGAGGGTTGGAACGGTCCTTGATGGGCCGCCCCGAACAAACACTAGGTGAGCTCCCTCTTACGGGAGCCCATTGGTGTTGGCCGCGGCCCGGGCACGCTCGACCAGGGCCCGTTGGGCCGTCAGGTCAGAGCAGCTGAGCAGGGCTGCCTCCCAGTCCTCCCGCGAAGAGTTGGGTAGTGGGGTAAGGTTTGGGATTTTTTGGCATGCCCACACCATGTGGAAAATGTCAGAGGAATTTTCCTCACAATGCGGGCACTTCCCTGTGCAAGCGGGGTCAAAGTGTTTTATGATTGCCTGGCACATTAGAGCTTTAGTATAAAGGCGAAGGAGGATTCGCTCCTCCGCCTTCGTGAGGCCCTTACAGGGTTTCGGATAGACGTTATGGCCGAATTGATAGAATTGTGTAACCTCCTTAAAGGTGTAGGCGGGATTGGATTCGAGTTCCGGATCGGTAGGGGACGAGGATGGTGCCCGGAGAGTGAGCGCGCGGGCAGCGGCATCGGCCGACTCATTACCATCGAGGCCCGTGTGAGCCGGAGCCCATATGATCGTTCGGTGCGCGGGGGCACCTAGGTAGCTGCTGTTCTGCAAAATTTTATAAGCACGGTACGGAATGTATCCCTGTTCAATATTGCGACAGGCACCCCTTGAGTCGGTCTGCGGCGGCTAGTGCGATGGCGATCTCCTTCGCGTACGTAATGTTATGTGTACGGAATGTGAGTCCGTTTACAACGGTGTTTTGGTGGACGACCGCAGCCGTGTACCAACCACCGTGGTGCGGGCCGGAGGCGTCCACGTAGAATACTCCAAATTTGCGGCCGTAGTGTCGAGCCAAGGCCCGCCCGCGTGAGGCGTCGGCCACTGTAGTCGTCTCGGGTCATGTTAGCCAGAAGAGGGCGCACGTGCAAGGAGTATCGCCAAACTTCTGGAATCCGTACGCGCTCTTCCGTGTGTATTGAAGGATTGATGTGTAGCCGGGCAAGGAGGCGGCGACCCGACGGTGTTTTAGAGAGTCTAGTATATTGGTTTGTCAAGTGCGCCTCTCTCAGCTCCTTGATGGTGTTCACCATTCCCAAGCCCAAAAGGCGCTGGTTAGAGGTGCTTACAGGAAGGTCGAGGGCGCGCTTGTAGATTTTGCGGAGAATGTCTTCGAGTGCATTCTCGTCGGATTTGCGTAGGTGGAGGTATGGAAACGAGTACAGGACTCGGCTGGTTACGAATGCATGCGCCAGCCGCAAGGCATCTTTGCATCGTAACCCCCCGTGCTTGTTGGAAACCCGGCGGACCATCCGGCCCACCTGGTCCCCCACCTTACGGAATTTGGCCAATGTTGTGTCTGCTCTGCGATTTTTGTGTATAAAAAGCCCCAGTACTCTAATCTCATCGCGTTCGGGTATTGGTCCGCTGTGAAGGGAGAGGTCGATTTTTGTGGTGCACTTTGGTGAGGGGCGTATGTGCACGAATTCCGATTTGGACGGGGAGCACTGAAGGCCGCAGCGACGGGCATAGTCATCCACGATGTCCGCCGCTTGCTGCAGGCTTGCCTCCACGTCTCCTGCCGAGCCGTGTGACGCCCATATGGTGATGTCGTCAGCGTACAGCGCATGCTGTATGCCTTCGACTTTCACCAGCTGAGCGGGGAGTCGCGTCATTGCCACATTGAATAGGAGGGGCGAGAGGACCGCTCCCTGCGGAGTCCCTCTCGTGCCTAATCGGTAAGGGCCGTGTTCAATGTCCTGAATCCGAATGTATGATTGTCGGTCAGTGAGGAATTGTTTAATATAGTTGAAAGTGTTTTGGCCGCAATCCACCTGTGAGAGATGTGTTAGAATAATTTCGTGGGTCACGTTATCAAAGGCCCCCTTCAGATCCAAAGCGAGCACAACTTTGTCATTCAGGGGATACTCGACTGGATCGAGAATCTCATGGTCGAGCTGAAGCAAGACATCTTGCGCGGACCGGTGTGGGTGGAACCCGAACATGGTGTCTGCAAATGCATTTTTGGTCTCCAGAAACGCGGACAACCTGTCGCGCACCATCGTCTCCATTAATTTTCCCACACAAGAAGTAAGGGAGATGGGGCGGAGGTTGTCCGTGTTAATGGCTTTGCCCGCTTTGGGTATAAGGTGACCAGGGCGGTCTTCCACTCAATTGGTAGGCTTGTTTTCTCGATCCAAATGGAATTGATGTAGGCAAGGAGCATGGTGTAGGCCGAGTCAGGAAGATTGGCAAGTAATTTCACGGTAATTTTATCCCTTCCCGGCGCCGTTCCTCGCCTCATTTTTGCTAGGGATGCCTTCAGGTCGTGTAACTGGAACAGTTGATCCAGCTCCGCATTCTCGGTACCTGCATACGAGTACGCCGGCCCTCGGGAGTCCTGCTGTGTGCATAGATATTGGTCTGGAGTTTACATGCCAATTTGGCTGTGTCTCCGTCGAAGCTGTGAAATGCTCGTTGCAGATGCTTTTGTGTCTCTGTTCGAGTTTGGGTCGGATCAATCAAGGCGCGGAAGAGGCGCCAGGTACTCCGGCTGGACATTTGTCGAGCGGCCGTGTTGCAACGGTCCACCCAGTTAGAGTCAGCGAGCTGGGCCGCGTACTCTGCTGCTCGCTGGGTGAGCTCAGCGATGCGAATTTTGAGCTTTCGGTTGTGTTTTTGCCGGCGCCATCGGTGGACGAGGCTGCGCCGGGCCTCCCAGAGGTGGAGGAAATGGTTATCCACCGCCGGAGTCGCCTCGGAGAGTTTAATTTGTGTTTCTGTGGAGCGTAATGAGGAAACCAGTTGCTGGGACCAAGCATGGTATCCTTGCTCCTCAATGGGTGTCGAATTAGCGTATATTTGCCGAAACTTCGTATAATCGGGTAATTTTGCCTCTCCGTAGGGTCTTGCCAAAGGATAGGTGCGAATGGTGGTGTTGAGTATGCAGTGGATGCTGCCGAGGGTCTCTTCAGTGTTG